GGAGACTACTATAGTATATTGGGGCTATATTTTAAAGATCATGGTGCTGAGTGGACGTGAGGCCTTGCTCTGCCTTCACCACGCTGTCCAGCGTGCTTCGTGGCTACAGGGCGGCATAACCCCAATATAATATAGTAGTTTCCATTTTCTTTTCCATTATCCCAATATAACCCCAATATAACCCCAATATACTATAGTAGTATGTGCCTCCCACATCATCCAACGCTCAGAAAATATGCCCCTTGCAATGATTTCCATCATTTTCCACCCTAAACCCTCGCCATCATTTCCAGCCCTCTCTGGATGGCCCCCCGCACCATCCACCACAATCACTTCTCTGACCCCCATCTCAGACCAAAAAAAGGGGCTCGGGTGGACACTCGGCGATGAGATCTCCAAACCCCCCTACAATCACTTCTTGGGGAGTCAAAGACAAGCAAATGATTGCCGAAAATGTGATCCTGTAACCCTCCCCCACACACCCTCTCCAATCATCTCCGGTGCTGGGGTGATCCTCCCACAAGCTGCCCGTGCATCGTTCTGCCCGCTGCAAGCCCGGAAGCCGGGGTGGAAGGCAGATGCAGACGCGGGCGTCTACAATTATCGCCTCTCCTGCTGCAGCTAAGCACGGCTACTCTGCCGAGGCACGAGGGTGGTTTTCACCACGTGCTCCCTACGTAGGACGCTGATCACCAACGGGTCCACGTTGGCCGTCATCAGTCTGACGTCGGCGAAGTCAAAGCGATCATCCCGAAGATGAAAACGTTCCTTGTCAGACTCAAGCCCTGCTCTACCTTGCAAAGCGCATAGACAAACAAGGACCCTGGTATGGCATAATCAGCAAAGCTTCGTACAATTCGTTCACCACACTCTGCGCTTTTTTGTAGAAGTAAATCGGCAGGCCACTGAACTGGTCAAAGTCCTGGAATTGCCAGGCAGCACGGACGCAGCGAGCATGGCTTCAAGATCTACTCATCGTTTTTGGTGTCGCGCATGAATGTGCCACATGGTGCCTGAATCAAGCCGCAAGCTCAACACTGGCGGCTAGACCTGAACCCCCACCAGGTCCTGAAAGGCATTCCTTGACTGACGGCGCGACCAAATTGTTAAATGCTTGTGTCAACATTTTCTTGTACCCCTAATACACCCTATTACAATATAGTAGCTTCCATTTTCTTGTCCGTTATCCCTATATAACTATAACCCCAATATATTCCCTAATACAACCCCTACATATTATAGTAGCTTCCATGTTCTTTTCCATTATCCCCATACAACCCCCCCATATAACCCCTAAAATCGAAAGTACTACGGCAGAAGAAGGCAAAAGCAGCTTCCGGATCCCAAATTGGGTAGTTTCCCAATATGGGGGGACCCCAACACAGACCCCAACATGCTATAATCCTACTTCTGGGGAGCCCCCCCAAAAAAGAGGACCTCTAATTTTGGGAAATCCCCAAACCCTATATCCCTTACATATTATAACCCCAATATGACCATAATGTCGTAGTTTCCGTTTGATTTTCCATAACCCCAATATAACCCTACTGCTTGCCATGGAAGCCTCGGGAAGGTCTCTGCCAGCACCTGGACCAGTTTAGCAGCTGCGGTTTCATCTTGGTAGAAGGCATCCACAGAGAACATGACGAATTCCTGGAGGTTCCTCAGGAAAGTATAGGGATTATACAGGGTTTATATAAGATTATGGAAGGATTATAGGGTATCCATTAGAGTTACATAGGGATAACGGAAAATAAAATGGAAACTACTACAGTACAATGGTGTTATATTGGGACAATGGAAAATAAAATGAAAAGTACTACGATCCGCCGAGGCCGGAGGCCTGGGGCGTTTAGAACCAGGACCGTTGAAATGGAGGTTCCCCCTAAGCTCCACAGATTTTGGATGGGAAGATTGGGGAGGAGGGGTCTGGGACGGAGCGGTGCCGGCTGCCCCTGCTCTGTGCTCTCACCCCTCGGCAGCCTTGCCGAGGCGGTCTCGCGTTAGCGGTTAAATTACTATAAGATTGGGGTTTATATTGGGATAACGGAAAATACATGGAAACTACTATAATATTGGGGTTATAAAGGCAGGCTATGCAAGTAGGTTTGAGCCCTGGATCAAGAGGCTGCGCTCTTACATGTCAAGCTGCGGATAACCTTTTTCCAGCAAGGTCTCGCCCAACTCTCGGAGGACCTCAGCTATGCCAGCTATGCGGAAGCCTTCTTCGAAAGCCAAACACACTTGCTGTCGCCAGGCGGCAACATGTAGCTTCTGCACAAACCTAAGCAAAATCAATCGCAACGTTGCCATGCCCCTCGTAATGCCTCTTCCAGCAAGGCACAAACTAGAACAAATCGACGCGCGCGCTCTGCTGCCGAAGAAGCTCATGCAAGGCCTCGCTCTGAAGGCCGAAGTACTTGGCAACATCTACCATGCGCAAGCTGTAGAGCCAATCCTTGAACAACCGGCATACTCTTAGGTGAGTGAAGACGACTACTTGTCTCAAAATGTGCAGACCAATGGCCGCCCTCATGTCTGGGCACGCCGCAATGATGTTGTCCATCCCAGCCCGCACCTGGCGGCTGCTGAGCTCTCTTTACATCTCTTTACTCTTGGCTGCGGCTCACGCAAAGCAAAGATCCGCTGGGCTTCTCCTTCCTCCCTACCTCCTCCTTCTCTCTGCTTCTCCTCCTCCTTCTTCTTGCCCCTTCTTTGATTGCTAGTGGAGGGCATGATTCTTTTCACAGCTTCATGTACACAGACTCATTGCATCATAGGCCCCATCACTACACAGAAACCTAATTCTTGCATTGGATCCATACAAGGATCCTACGGCTAGAATGAATTCAGTCAAGACTCTGTCTGCCAGGGGCCCAAGCCATGATGAAGGTGGAGTTCCTCACGCCAGCCCGAGCCGAAGTCGAGGGCTCCCGCCAGGCAAATGAGGGCTGCCTCCTTCCAAGCCAGGCAGGTAGATTACGGATCACAAGCATGCTTCATGACGGTAATTATGAAAGACTACAGTTTCTATAGGATGTCCTGATGATTCCTTGGGTTGTCCACACCCGAAAGGATGAGTCTTGAGTCAAAAGCATCCTTGCAATACACCCAACCTTTGGAAATTACGAGTTTGGACCACCTGGGACCGCTGGAACAGGAATGGATGTGACTCAGGCAGTTTTCTGCGACTTTGGTAGAACGGTTCAGCTTCCATGTTGATGCTGCTGCTGTTGCTGCTGCTGCTGTGGCTATTATCACATTCGGTACTAGGGCATCAAAAGTAACTGGCCGCAATCATGGTGTTCCCAGTATTTACTAGCGCTGCTGTTGCTGCTACCATTGCTGCTACTGCTGCGACTACTGCAAGGATGACGATGCAGGGTGGGCCACACCCAACAAGGCTGCCAAACACGATGCCAAATGGATTGAGAAGAGCTGGAGACTGCTGAAAGAGTGTCTCTGCCATCATTTCTGTACTTGCTGCTGCAAGGATCTACTATGTAAATTCCGTGACGCACGAAAAGCTCCGCTTGTCGACCTCCGCTGGTTTGTGGGTACAATTTACCGTTCCTAAGAATCCTGGCGGAAGTACCTTTTCAGTAGTTGTCCGACATTCAATTGCCTCAGCTCCAAGGGCTGAGTCGATGTCAAGGCGTCCGTGGAACACCACCCATTTCCACAGCCAAAGGACTGGTTTCCCTGATTCTGATGACATCTGGTATGAACAATTTTTTCGGAAGCACGCCGGCGGAATAGATTCACCCTCGACGGGCAACCGTTCTAGCGTGAGTGCGCGCATCTGTATGTGTCACGACGATTCATCAAGAAACCACAGATTGATTCTATGAAACTCATCTTATAGTTTCCATTTCTTTTCCATTATCCCAATATATTCCCCAATATTTACCCTATAATCCCTATATAATCCCTCTATTTCCCTATATTATCCCATCTGCCAACCTCCGAAACTGACTGGGTCGATCCCGCTGTACAGGAGGCCTCGCTGGATGTTCTCTCGCATGCTGGATGCAGCGTCCATCACACAGGGGGTTATATAGGGATTATAGGGTATATATTGGGGTTATACAGGGATTATAGGGTATATATTGGGGTTATGTTATATTGGTAAAGGAAAAAAATGGAAACTACTAAAGGATCATAAGAGAGCCAGGCATCTAAGCTCCAGACATCCATAGGCTGATCTGCTAGGGCACATATGTCCTCACAGGAGGGGACATGGTTGCTACTGGCTCGGCTTCGAACCCTTGCTTCAGATTTACACCGGCAGCGCAAGGTCACATTCCGGCTCATGCAGAAGTGAAGCAACAAGTCACCCAAACATGCCAGCAACCTCGACCCCTACATCAACGGCAACGAAAACACGCAGCAGGCTCTTGACCCCGGACAGAAACAGCGATACGCCATCCATAGCCTTCAATACAACACCCGGAATGCATCAGGTGCTCTCTCCACTTTCGCATTACTATGCCAGTGATAGTAACTACGATGTGGAGACTTGAGGTTTAGGGCGGAAAAGCCCGCATCGAGCGGCAAAACCATGACAAAGACAGCCCTCGAAGGAGCAGATCAACCTCGTAAAGTGCTGTAGTTGGTGTCATGATGCAAATTCACGGAGGGTGTCACAATGTTCCAAATATTAATACTTCAGCTTGTGTCGGCACCACACAACTCCGCTGTCAAACCGCCCCTGTTCAAGGTGCTTTCACCTGAAGTCTGTGTCTGACACACCTCACAACAATCAGAACAGTGTCCACTTTCGGATTGGTTTTGCTGTGGTTGTGGCACTTTCTCGTGGCTTGTGTACGTTGTCGTAGCTGTAGCTTGTTTTGGTGGTGCCGGCGGTAGTTGCATGTGCTTCTTCCTCCAGCTCATGCATCATGGAAGCTGCGTCCGCCCTGGCTAGTGATGGTGAGCGTCGCTCCCTCTCCTCGCAACTGCTTCCACTGTAGTCTGGTGCAGTAGATAAGGAACTGTATTCCAAGCGGCGCCTTTCTGCTGAGCATTGCCAAGTGCGCTACATGTCATTGCGTCATTATCTGTGTTGAGCTCTATGCATAGCCTGCCCGAGAGGCACTCAATATCCACAACGACTACTATCCACAGGTCTTCCAGTGCTGTTCAGGTGCACTTTCTGCAGCAACGACTTGGATTGGCCGTCTTTGTTACGATGTCGGTTGCATACGTCTTGAGGATACCAAATGCCCAACCTGGTGCCACAAATTGTCGATCTGCCAGACGTGCGGATGCACAGGCTGCGGTGGGGTGAATGGGCGGCAGACGTTCTATGCGGAGACGTTGGTCTTCTCCTCCAAAAGCTGTGGTCACGGAGACACTGGCTGAACAGTTGGCGAAGAAATGATTGTAGCCTCATAGCCCCGCCGCTGGGGTAATGGGCTGTGGCTCGCAGTGCCAACTTCGAGGGATCACCGTCACTGGGCGGTCAGGACGACTGAAGGGTGGAGAAGACACTCCGTTGCCACCAGCCACCCTTTGAGCTGCGATGCGGTTCTCACCATGCAGTCTCTCTGTCTGTTTCTTCTGTTCTTTCGTGCGAGGTCGGTGGTGGGGCGCATGCTTTCACGCGGGCTCTTTTTGTGCTTTTGCGGGCGCGCTATACATTCTCATTCCAAAATCAGAATCCAAGACCTTACACCATTGACCTTCCCCACAGTTGGTTTGAGACTCAGATTGAATTTCTCCCCTTCTCAGAGGAACTGTGAAACATTCGGGCACCTTTGTCCACATTGGACCCCATTTCCCCAACTAATTCATACTTCCTGCATCTTCCTGCACCTACATTTTAACCATTGTCCTCCAGGGTGGGCGTGCTCCGGAATTCTATGTTATATTGGCGCCTCGCAACTTCCTGTCATGCCAACACACTATCACTTGACAAGCAATGAAACTCCACTCTCACCATAAAATCTATTCTTAGAAATGCTTCCCACCGGTTTCTCCTGCGAGGTCCACGCAAAAATGGGCTCCGCGCTGTCTGAACACTTCAACAGCTCCACATGAATGACTCACGAAGCTAACCAGCACAGGCTCTTCTTCCCGCTGGAGGGGACCCAGAAGCCCCCGGCCCTACACCCCACTCCCCACCCCTGGGGCACTGCTCCGAGCCCGCACGTCCGATGCTTTTAAATTTTGCGTAGCACAGGCTGTTTGTCCCTCTGTCGCTCTCGCTCTAGTCGCAAAACATCCGGCCAAGAGTCCTCAAAGTTCAATGACGCTGCGAAGCATGCCGTGTTCACGCGGCTGGCCCATGCAGGAGCCTCATCACGTTTGAGGCCAGGTTCACCAAAGCACAGCTAACAAACATCTTGCTGCAGCAAGGCAGCCTCCAGTTTGAAAGCCTGAGATGCCAAAGCCACGCGTGACAAAAGACATACATATCAAACATGCATAAAGTCAGTGGATAGACCCGCCATGCCTGCAAGGGGCTACGTCTTGCAAGGCACAACAAGAATGTCGCACCCGCTCTGGGTAAGACATGTCCATCATGTGCCTCAGCTGGAGCGCATGGATTGAGGCTCTTCGTAGAAAGCTGAGCTTGAAATGGAGGCTTCCAACCCCAAATATAGATCCCAATGTAAGACAATTCTTATTGGTGGGCGTGCTTGACACCACGCAGCGAACATGAGCAAACCCTGACAATCCAATCCATTAGCAGTACTCCCTCTTCTTCCGCTGCAAGCCCTCACCCTCATCCAAACTCATCGAAGATCCTCTCAACACAAACCTGAAACAGATTCACACGCACTTTAGCATATCTGCTGCAAGGAGGCGATAAACTCTAGAAGAAAAACTCTTAGTCTTTGCGACTGAGTGCGCGAAGTCGGGGAACGCGAAGACCTTGAGCCATGGATCGTCGGCGAGCGCCATTGGGGGCCGGACTGGGCACTTCCTGAAACGAGCCCAGATCTGGACCTAACTCGGGAAACTTCGCGTAGGCTTTCATTGGAGATTTTGTAGAGCCCGAACATAGTCAACTGAGCAAACTCTTGTAGTATGCTGCCTGCACATGTCACATGTGGGGCTGTCTTCGCCATCGCATGAGCCGCATGAGATTGTTTTGATGCCAGTGTCAAACAGACTTGCAAGCGTGCCGCTCCAACATTTTTTCAGCTCGGTTTTGAGCAAAGTCCACCCCACGACATGAAAGTCGTCCTGATTAATGAAGCTAAGAACTGAAGGGATACGTGCTACATCGGCTCAGCGGCACCGCCTCGCACGGCTTACCAACAACATCATTCAGAAACGGACTTGTATGCAGCTGAACATGTATGCAGGTAGGGACTCGTGGGCTTCTCTGAGAATCTCTGAGAGGTGGCCTCAGAGAGGTGAGCCTCAGGTGAGGTCCATCGGAGGTGGCTGGCAAGGTCGCACCTGCTCTCTGAGACTTTCTGCCAAGGTCTGTGAGTCTGAGCCTGGAGTGGCCTGAGGCATCGTTTGTGGCATTGCTTGGGGAACTCCACAGCCTTGCACAGTTTGGCGGTTCGATTCCAGGACTTCAGCTACTGCAGCTCCTGAGCTAGCGCAGTGCTTCTGAGGATGGCGCAGCCGTTGCTCATCACAGGGAACGCCCCCTTCAGGATTGAGGTGGAGGACATGACAATGCGTTACCAGCTTGCCCAAAGCCTGTGCAACTTGTGGAGGAGTGGGTCTGCAGCCGGGAAGTCCCATGAGAGGAGGCCCCATAGCCTGCAACCGCCACCCAGTTTGCGCTGCTTCGCTACACTGCCCGCCTCAATGCAGATGTGAACCATGTTCAACAACGTGAATCACGCTTTTGGACTCCCTTCAACCCCTGCTGAGGATCACAGCTCTCGAGGCCTGGCCATTCGGCAACAATGGTCTAAGAGGCATCCTGCGCAGCAAGGCTGCATCAGCTTGCAAGGATAACATGGCTGCCCTGAGGTGAAAAAGGAAGCGTGTCACAACAATTGTTTCTGTGGCGTTTCAATCTCAGTTCATGCAATCGAGCCGCTGTTGCATCGGTGGTGCTGCATGGGCAGGGTGAAAGGCCTAGCACAATAAGACAAACCAGAAGCATTCACGGCAAACTGTTCACAAACAAGCCAAGCACTGAAAGCATTTCTCACGCCGTTGATCCAAGGGCTGCCCTCTTGCGTGTGTGCTACCGGATTGCTGCTATGCAACCTGAGCAGCCGGATTCCCAACAACAGGGACCATGTTGCTCAGCATTCGCTGTGGCTGACCTGCCGATGAAGCACCCCACCAAAGACAAGCGATGATCAACTCCGAATCTTCAGGCTGATGTGATGTGCACCCTGGGATTCACAAATTCGCCCGACACTGCCTGGACATGGTGATGGCACCATCGGATGCACCTCAACTCGAGCCAACTTGAACCCTCAGCGCAAATCAAGCCACATCCTAGCACTCAAGGGTCAGGGTCCCGATGGCATCCCACATCTACTCATGAGCAAGGCCCTTCCAGAAGCTACACGTGCAAAATCACCCCTGGGTGTGCATATCAAGTCTCGGGATGTGGGGCCATCTGCGGCGCCCCTACAGCTGGCAAAGCCGGCTGCCTAAGACAGGTTGCAATGACAAAGCAACAGTCGCAGCCGCAAAGGCAGCAAACCAAGCCGCAGCGCCGCCACACCACCACCACCACCACCACCACCACCACCACCACCACCACCACCACCACCACCACCACCACCACCACCACCATAGCCGATTGCCAAGTGCAGGCAGAGTTCATCTGCGGAGTCGGATTGAAGTGAGTAGCAGAAAAAGCCTGCTTCCCCTCTGCAGCAGCCAAGGCAGCCTCCGCGGCCTCCGCATGTCAAGGCTTGCCGAAGACAGCTGTTCCACTGCTCAATGTTCTCGCACGTTCCAGGATTCAGCTCCAGCTCCATTCAAGAACAATGGGGAAAGCTTGAAGCCTTGGCCGCCGCCTCTGCAGCGTCAGCCGCTTGCCGCGCTCGCCTGCACCGGTGCCCGCTCTCTGCTTGACTCGGACTGCTCTGAAGCTACGTGTGTGTAGCTGTGCCAAACCAATGCCCGACTGCACCTGGCTGCTTGCCGCAGTTCCTCCACGGAGTCTGCCGCTGCAGCAACTTGGGCCTGCTGCAAGGCCTGAGCTGTTCTGCAGCAATGAGCTTCCCCCTTAGCTTTCACAAGCCCATGGCATGTTGAGCGGAGTTCGCATTTGCCCTTGCCACACCTTCTGCTTCCTGGGTTGCTGAGCCCTGCAGCTCCAAAATTTGCCTACACACCGCCAGCTGTGTGCCAGCAAAGTGTCCCTCGCCGCACGGCTTGCAGAACTGGGGTCTTCCTGAACCTTGCAGGAAAGAAGGCCCCAAAACTTCCGCTTGGAGTGTAGTTGAGGCCACCTCGGCCTGCGCACCGCCTTGGAAGTCAGCGCCTCAGGAAACTGTACTATAGCACATTGGAGTATATATTGGGGTATATTGGGATTGTGGAAAGGACAATGGAAACTACTACAGTAAAGTGGGGGTATATTGGGACAATGGACAACATTCTCAGGCTGAGCTGGCTTTGCCCAGCCATGGGATACGGATCAGAAAATCAGGCCGGGACCGTCATCAAGAATTGTGGCTGATCTGATGTACGTCAGCTTTGGAAAGTTTGTTTTGAGGTAGATGTTCCTTAGATTTGCAAATATCAGCGTGGGCTGGCATATCAAGAAAGCGCTGCATGAACATCTCAAAAGTAGCTCCGGCACCCTTCCGCGTTTATTCGGCTGGTGTCCTCAGGGTGCAAAAACTGGTCCGGCACCACCCCTGCATTTACACTAGCTCAGTCCCCTGCCGGGCCCTGCCCACCAAACTCTACAATGTCACCTGAGCTATTCAAACATCAGGGTGAGATGGAGAAAGTCCAAAAGCAAACTTTGTGCTGTCTAAACCCTTTTGCTGCAGGCTTGCTAGGTCCACGCCTGGTCGTCTGAACCCTAAAACCCTAGCCCTAAACCCTAGAACCCTTTATCGGAGAGAGAGACTGCATGACTTGCTCTCAATGTCCTTGACACTGCCCCACCTTAAAACCCTAAACCGTATCGTGTTGCCATAGATTGTCTCAACGAAGTCGAGCACGTCCAAAGAAGCCTCTGCAACTGCCCCGATCGGCGTCTCCTGCCAGATTTGGTTGAGCTGCGCATTTCTTCTACTGAAAGTCCATACCTAGCCCATGGGTTTAGGGTTCCTGGTTTAGGGGCGTGTTAGGGCTTCTTTTTTGGGGGGGAGGCTTCAGGAAAGGGGTGTCACTTGTGACTTCTCCCGGGAATCACTTGTGAATCTTCTGACTTTTCGAGAGGAGGGTCACTTGTGACTTCTCTCGGGG